TAACGCGGTGTGTGCTGGATGCGTGAGATTTCAATTGGCCATGTGGTCGCACGACGACAGAGATGGGCCATGTCCCCGCCAACGTTGGTAACACCATCGTTACCGTCGTCGGCACGCCACTTGGAGGCAAGCAGACGGCTCAAGTGCCTGCAACCGTCTACGACAGTCGCCTCACGGTGGAGCCACGCTGCGACCACAAATCGCCCATGACCGCACCCACGCCAACGTTGATAACGATACAACCGTTCGTTGTAGCAGCGTCGACTGCTCGCTCGGTGCACCAACGTCAAAGCCGCTCCAAGACTTGGTCTTGACGACGCGTACCCGGTCACGCTTTCAAATTGGGATGGATATCTTGGGCGCTCGAAGCGTTGTCGCGCTCTGGAGCGTACTGTAGCGTACACATAGGAGGAGACGGTCGTCTACCAAGCAGCATGGACACCTTGACATGAAATGTGGGTCCTCCGCGCCGGTACCTAGAGGCAGGCCGATGCGCTTCGGTCAACACGCAGCAACGCATTCACGTCCATTCTTTCCGCATGCGTGTTCCTCGGCAAGTGCTTGGCTTTGCCAGTTTGCATCCATAAACATGGAAGAGCCACGAGCCGTGAGCTCATCAGCGCGAGCGCATTGCTGTAGAGATCCGATGCGATCTGCCAACATGCTACGCAATACCTGTGTCTGCCGTGGCCGACAAGGTCGGTTATCTTGTCTATGGCGCTACAGAGTGCTGAAGCATACCGCAGGCCTCGGTTGTAGTAGCATCAACACGCACGGACCAGCATGATCCTGCTCCTGCGTGTCCGGAGACACGCTTGATGGAAGCCTCGTGCGAGGGCCTCACTACGCCGCCAGCCTTGTGGGCCCAATGTATCTCCATCGACCCCTCGTACACCTTCCTCCCTTCTTCGTTTCGCCACAAGGCGGCGGATCCATCCTTGAAGTGCAACATGGAAGTCCGCCGTCGTCCGCCTTTCCATCCGGATGCAACCGCAACCGGCGCTTCAACGTCAATTTCGAAAGCGGCCGATCATGCTTGCGCTGGCCGCCTTCTTGGGCGCCGTCGGCGCCACCGCTTACGTGCCCGGCCTCGGCCCCGTCGGCATCTCTGCGCTGGTACCTACGACTGTACGATATCGCACAGCTGGCTCAGCCTGTGCGTATCCCTAGGTGTTCTATGCGCTGCGCGCAAGCGTCGTGCCCTTGGCCTCGCGCGCCTGCGTGGCGGCGTTCCGGAGCGACGCGCCCATGGACCGCCTTCTGTGGCTCAACACATCGGTGTCGCTCTTGCATTCCATCGTCTCGTCGTGCGTGAGCCTCGCCGTGCTCAGCTACCACGGCCGCGCCTTCTTTGACGCGGACTGGGTCCTCGCCAGCCCCGACGGCGCGATGCTGCCGCTCGCCGTCTCGACGGGCTATTTCCTCTACGACTTTTATGACCTTGTCGCGCACAAGCTGTGGCTCAAGGCGCCGGGGATCCTCGCCCATCACATCATGGTCGGCGCATGCTACGCCTCGGCCATTGTCTACGGTGTCGGGCAGTGCTACCTCGTGGTGATGCTGCTCCTCGAGCTCAACTCTGTGTTTTTGCACGCACGCAAGCTCCTCTCGATGGCAGGCTACAGCATGTCGAACACGATCTACGCCATGGCATGGCAAGGCGTCTGGGTCACCTTTGTTGCGACGCGCGGCGTCCTTCCGATCGCTGTGCACGTTGCTGTCTTTGCCGATCGAGCCCGCTTCCCGCATGTGGTACTACGAGACGCATGGAATGTGCGCATGGTCTTGAACGGAACGACTAGGTGCAGTACGCCATGGCGTTTGGCGGCATGGCGATCCTCCATGTCCTCAACTACCTTGTACGGGAAGCCCTCGCATCGCAGCGTCTCACTACGTGTCGGCGTGTAGGTGTGCCAAGGCTGCTGGAAAGCGTACCGCAAGGACGTAGCCGCCAAGTCCAAGTAACGAGTGCTAATCTAGATGATGACTCGTCCGCTGCATACAGCAGTACGCTGGAGCCACGGACGGTCGATCTCTGACATTGCCTGTCTGCGACAGCAAGTCGCCGACCGTTGACATTGGTGCACTTGCAGAGGAGGACCTCGTTTCTACAGCTGCGACAACAACTTGTCCGCTGCCGTGCGGACTGGAAAAGCTGTACTACTCGATGCACACGTTAAACCATCGCTGCAAGAGGAAGGGCAACGTCTTGTGGCGTTGTGCTGCGCTTCATCTTGCACATGTCCCATGTGGTTGCCACCCACGTGCGGTTGTCCTTGGTGTCCCATGGCGCGGCTGTAATGCTGGCCTCGGATCACTCGCTCGCGCATTTTCGGTCGGTGGCTTGCTTGCCACAGTACTCTATCGCGCGCGTCAAATAAGATCGCACGGTGCGCAGCAGGTCTATGCAGCAGCGTTGCTTTCCATAAATATTATATCGAGTTTATCATCGACTAATATAGCACATTACTCTCTACTTGTCGTATCTTCTATTCGCCTGGCCGCGTGTGGCCACTTGATCTCCATTCCCTTCCTCCTCCACGTCGTCTTGCCGACGAATCGGTGTCGAACTTCGTGGAGCGTTGTCGTCGTCTTCTAGAGTTTTCCTTGTCATCTTGATCTTCTTGCCATGCTTAGCACTCGCGCCGCCGCTTCCGGAGGCTGTCGAGCTCGGTGATCATGGCCATGAGGCGCTGCACGTCGAGGACGGCCTGGTCAACTTGGGCCTGCATGGCGCACACGTCGACCGTGATGGCGTCGAGGTCGTGGCGCAGTGCGAGCGCCGGCGACTCGTCGCACTCGTCGTCGTCGTCGAACCAGCGCCGCTTGAGGCTGGCCGTGTCCTTCACGACCGGGTCGATCGTGCTGTTGGTGTTGTTCATGTGGAGCATGCTTGGTTCTTGAAAATGAGAGCGCGGAACGGCCTTTGTTGTCGGGCGACGAACACAAAGACGGGAGGAGGAAGAGAAAGGGTCCGAGCAAACTCGGAAGTGAGCCGAAGTTCCCGCACCTCGAACGCGCCGACGTGGGACGCCGTAGACATTACAGTGAACGGCCACGAACGTGGGCGAAGGAATTCGTCGCTTCGGATTGCCACCAATCGCGGGCTGGCCGGTCGTGACCTTGCCCTTTGTATACCGTTCTTGTGATGGTCACGCCACCTGGCGCGTGTTACGCCTGTCTGCGCTTGAGACGCGCGCACTTGGGCACGACCAAGCGTTTAGAAACACGCAACGATCGGTGCCGAAGTCGACGATCGACGGCGAACAGGACGCTTCCATGCGCGTCGCGGGTGGCCATCAAGCGTCCAACGCGACGCGACGCG